AAAAAAAAAAAAAAAATTAAAAAAAAGGGAAAAGAGAGGAAAGGAAAGGAAAAAATAAGTTCCTGTTTTTAGAAAGCTAAAGTTATAAGGAAAAAAAACAACAACAGAAGGGAACAAAAAAGACTGGTTATATGATTAGAAAACAGAGAAGAAACTGAAAGTAATATCCAAATGTCTGTAAACAGTTTCATTACAGGCAATGGAAATATAGGATTATGGGGAAAAATCTATGATAGAGCGTTACCTCTTATCCACATACAAACCATCTCACTTAGTTAAAAAAAGATACATCAGGGTAGGTGGGATACTATAACAACATTGAGCATATTGTTATACTATTCCACCCACCTTAATGAGGATCCTTTAGGTGTTGCAATGCCGTATCCTTTGGAATCCAAATTTCCGCCAACTTTCATGGTATCGCAGGGTTTTCTTTGCTCAATATATTCATTCATGGTAGACTCCAGCAAGTATGCATATTTTCCTTTAGATTTCCGTACACGATTTACACCTTCTGCTGTAGTCCTCACAAACACAGATGGCTCTGCACTTTTCATGTAGGTCCACATTTTATCAAATACTTGAATTTTGGATCTCTGTGGAAAGAACACAAGCTGCTAAATGTGCTGATATTCACATAAATTGTATGCTACTGTGATCATGCAATTTTAATTGAATATGTAGCTACCTACTGGGTGGGAAAGAACAGTGCCTTGAAAATTTAAGACTAGGGGATGAAGCTGAAACAGAAATACAAGCTTTTTGTATGAGATACATAATTGCTTATCTCATACATATCTCAAAACATTTTCACAATGATTAAATGTCATAATGGAAAACAGTTAGTTATTGCCTTTTAAAACCACTGAAGATCTCTCGCTATACGGGGAACATTTGACTGTATGGCTACATAAATATATACATGGTGCATTATAGACAGTAATAACTGAAACAACCTCTAAGTTGACTATCAAATTTTCTTTATGCTTTAGTTTGAATTTTATTTCAAGTGAAATTGTGTTTACAACTCTACAAACGAACTTACTCTATTACACAGAGCATTTGTGAGTGTTTATTTTGGCCAGAATGCAAAATTTGTCTTTGTCAGATTCTCCAATGTGCTAAGCTGCAGCATATGTCACTGGTAGATGTCAAACACCTTTAAGGTGTTTAAGATAATACAAGCTTATTCTTTTTGTTTTGTTTTGAATTTTAACATTTCTTTAAAAATCCTTGGTAATTTGTAGGATAACATGTTAACTAAATAGTAATATAACTTTATTATTGTTACATAAAAAGAGATCTAACCTGTCATATAAAAGGATATATAGAAGGTAAAAAAAGAAAAAGAAAAAAAAAAGCCCTCTAGGTAATAGAAGAAAAAAGAAAACAAGAAAAAAAATAAGCAGCTAAGCTAAACTAAAGTTACTTTATTTCCTTTTCAAAGAGAACAGTGAGATGGACCAAGGAACCTCAATCTGGTATATCATATGGTGGGTCCAAATACGGTTTATACACAAAATCCAGTGTTCATACACCAATACTGAATAAGAATAGCATGCTAACTGAGAAAATTGACTGCAAGAGTTCTGCACTTTTTACACAAAAACTGTATCCAAGTGTGATATGTGTATTGTATAAAACTGAAAAAAATAGTTTATATAGACAACATTTGGTAATTTATTGATCCAATTTACTATAAAACAGTTTAAAATTTTGTTACAAACTGAGCTACAAGCTGATGAACTTAAAAGAATGTAGCCTTTTTCATTTTTGCCTTTTCAGAAGGAACAGGTGGGCAAAAAGTTAATGTTGAAAGGAGTTCAATCATGATTCATAATAATGATGATGATAATTCCTGTATTCTATAATAAACAACAAAACTGTTGTTGTTATTGTTATTACAGATTTGTCAATATACATAAAGAAGGTCAGACCTCTGCCCCAGTGGCTTAAATCTAAAATTTTAAATACAGGAAACAAGATGAAGAAAATGAAGTCAGGGGTGAACAGAAAAGCAATGTTATTTTATTCATAGGCCAAGTTGACTGCTGAGGCTTAATGATAGGCCCACTCAGTAGGATAATCCTAAAAGTTGCATGACTTAATTATTCCATTCTGGTTTGTTTATTTATATTTATTGAAAGACAAATCTAAAGAAAAAGGCAGAAAAGATAGAAAAAAGAAGACAGAAAAAGGTGCAAGAAAAGTAAAAAAGTAAAAAGAAAACTGAAGTTAAGAAATATGACTTTTTTCCCCAAATAATTTTATTAAGTATAATAATTGTACAGATAAAAGCTAATACAAACTACAAAAAATAAAGTAATAGAAAGAAAAAATAAAAAGTGCAGAAAAGAAAAAAGAAAAAAAAAGAATAATATAAAAGAAGGAATAGAGAAGAAAGGAAAAATAAGAATATAACAACACCAAAAAAAAGACACTTCTGGTGAAAACATGGCGAGCTAGACATCCTTGAAGGAGTGGGGAGGACATTACAGCAATGATTGGCGACCAGGGATAGATCCTGGCAAAATCTCTCCAGATCAAGGAAAGAGTGTGGAATTGCCCACATGTACTTCAGACAGCTGCTTCTCATGAGTAGACCACAGGAACCAAGGTTTTTGTGGTTGGCTAGTGAGTGGAACAGCTGGGAGTGTAGGGATTCCATCTACTCCCACAACCGTAAAGTAGCCTAAATGGACACAAAGCTCAGCCAAGCCTCATTTCTTAATCACTTTTGGAATTATCTTTTACTGCTTTTCAAATATTAAGAACTTTCAGAATGGCAAGTTTGATGGGTGAGTTTCCTTCAGTCCTTAACAAAATAAATCTTAAGTGTGATTTTTAAGGACTTAGCAATTTTTGGGAATAAATGGCAAAAGGGTGATTAGAGTGATGTTTTTTGGAAAGTTATAAAGACCCATCTAAGGGTCTAGATGGACTTGAAATGGCATTTTGAAATTAACTGAATGAATCCTTCCCATGGGAAAACAGAAATTTCCCATGAATTCTGAAAAAAAAAATAACATGATAGGACGGGACTTTGAAGTTTGGACACTAAAGGGATCTTAAAGGAAGTAAAGATTCAATTAAAGGAGAAGAATACCTATTTGATTTTTTAATACAGAATGAATCAAAATACCTTAACACTGAATGTACTGAAGGATATATGGGAACAATGGACTCAGAAGTTAATTTTAAGAATGTCTGCCATCATAGATAGTATTATGGAAGAGGAACAAGTTCTACTGGGTAAGACCGAAATAGATTTGAAAGTGGATTTAAAAAATGACAGGCTACAAGAATTATTTGGAAAAAGATGAAATACTGGATATACAAATGAAACCCACTGATGGTTTAATAATTAAAAGGGACATACAACCAACCAACCAGGAGGGTGACTTGGTTAATTTCCCTATATTGGATTTACAAAGGAAACCTGTTAAAGTTTTGGAAGACTTGGTGAGAAGGGACAAAGAAAAAAAGAAAAGAAATCAAGTTCTAGAACATTATTTGAAAATAAATACTTCAAATAATTGCTTAAAGTTCAAGACTGTTAAAGTAAGGGAAGAAATATAAAGTTGGTCTATTTGATTGAGATTAAAATAGATGTTGTTATTTCTGGTAACCCTTAATGGATTTTTGATGACCAGGACTGAATGATGAGGTTTTAAGGATTTGCCTATAGATAAGAGATGTGATATGGGATGAAGAGATTGTTTGTTGTATTTTAAGAAAAAGTTGTAAGTTGTTAAAATTGTTTATACTTGTTGAAATGAAGGGGAACATTACTTCTTTATATTTCTTTTTGTTTTTTTGTTATAGAAATATAATAACTCCTTTTAAGGATTTGCCTATAGATAAGAGATGTGATATGGGATGAAGAGATTGTTTGTTGTATTTTAAGAAAAAGTTGTAAGTTGTTAAAATTGTTTATACTTGTTGAAATGAAGGGGAACATTACTTCTTTATATTTCTTTTTGTTTTTTTGTTATAGAAATATAATAACTCCTGATGTTCTCTTCAACAGATATGGACAAACCCATCATCTCCCCCTCCCTCTTATTTCTTCCAAAAATCCCTTCAACCCCATATTAAATTCTCATTTTTTTCAATCATTAAATCCATAAATCATCATTTCACTTTTTTCTTCCTTTAGTAAAAAGTCCATAAAAGGTTTCCAGACTTTTAAAAAGGCACTTGATGCTTTCTTCCTGACCAAACAGGTCAATTATTCCATTCTGCATCAAGTGAGTAAGCAACTACATTTAACTCAGTGCTAGAGACAATTATTGAGAACATTGGCTTTGATGAGAGACTTCAAAGAAGAATGGTAACATCTCCTTTGAGGACCAATTCACATGTAGTTCTTTTCCTGGTATATTAAGATAAAGACAAGGGAGTTTGACTCCCAGTGACTACAAGAACACATTCAGGTAACACTCTTGACAACACTGTGATAGTGGTTTGTCACTGTTTTTTCTGGGAAGTTTTTTTTTTCCCTCCTGGAGAATTCCTAGCAGTCTCCCATCCAAGTTTTAACTATGTCCAAACCAGCTTAGTTGTTTTGAGATGAGCCAATGGCAGCTGGGTGCTGCTATCTGCTGAGGGTCAGAGTATAATAATGTCCTTTGTTTTGTACTACGGTACATCAATAGCTTCTTCTGCATTCAAGCCTTGAAATTAATTTCTGCGAAAGAGCAGATGTTTGTTCTTTCAGTCAGATGATGAGTAAGCAGACAAGGCTGCTTTGGTTTTGCCTATAAGTAAATACTATGGCTTAAACCTCAGAAAAGCAAGAGTTAAGGAGAAAATGAGTAAAAGAGAGGGAAAAATAAAAAGTAGTAGCCACCATCTTCTGTTGCTTATACACTTCATCTCGGGATAGTTGTCTCATTTCCTTGCTCTTTTTCAAGCCACTACTACAGGGCACAAAAAGCAAAAGAGATTTCTATTTACTGTTTTACATTTGATAATTTATCTTTACTAATAGGCTATTTTATCAATCAATCAATTTGTATCTCTATTTTTATTTATAGGATGGAACAGGAGTAAAACAAAATCACTAAGCATAATTAAAATACATGCTTATATATCAGCAACAATAAAAACAATATGAATATTTTTCAACCTTCAGAATTAAACGGTTAGTGCTAAATAGTACTCCTCTTTTCATCTCTGCATATAATGTTATACATAGTTCAATCCTAAAATTTTGGTACTGATAGGTTTATGGGTTTATATGTTTCCATTTTGAAAACTGTTAATATGACCCTTGGATTTATTATTTAACTGCAATGCAAAACAGTTTTGGAAAAGCAGACTTTAAAAAAAGTCACTTTAACTTAGCTTCTTAATAAATACGTGAGTTTAATATGAATTCAGATAATTAGAACTATGTAAATATAAGCCTCTAGCTGAACATAGATGTGTGTGTGTGTTGTGTGTGTGGATAGATAGACAGACAGACAGACAGACAGACAGACAGACAGATGGAGTTAATCCAGAATCTACTAATTCATTTTAGTTAAACTGTCAGCATTTTCAGTATCAGCACATTCAATTATACAGGGTTAGCTGCCTAACTTTCCTGAACGAGATGTCTCATCTCATTTTCATTTCAACAGATTTTGAAAGATAGCTCCAAGGTTAGCAAAGCACTGCTGGTGACTTCTGATCTGTAGTACCTTTGCAGATAAAAACGTCATATTTATACTTCTGGCACAACATATCAACCTAATGTCACATATCCAGCAACCAAGCAAAGTATAAATGATAAGAAAAGTCACATAGTCTTATGATCTATAGGGCTAACAGATCAGTTATGAAAAAATCTGGACCATCAATAAAATTTTAATGCTTTGCTACCATCTAATAATAACTGGATTTTTGCAGCTCATATCTGATAGTCTTAACTGGACTTTGATTAATTTGTATGGCAGAACATGCAATGAACTACAAATAGTAGTGTCATAACTCTAGAAAACATGTTACAACTCAATTTAAGAATAATATCTCTGGCCTTCAATTGCATAGCAAGTTGGTGAGTGGTCTAGATAACTTCAGTGGCTTGTTCTCTGGATTTAGGAAGTCTTAAAATGCAGATCTCATAGAGGAACATGGGAAATGTGAATAGTTCATCAGCAGAATTATTAGTTGGAGAAACAAGAATACATGATCCATTTCTTTGGTGCAGATAGTATACAAGTTATGACAGATGGCTGTAAGATTTAACTGGAAACCTTGAAGAGGGATATTTGAAGTTGTAGTGAAAAGGATTCTTTAAAATTAGATACTATTAATTGATTGTTACATTTTATAAAATATAACTGATAGTAAATCTCTGGTTTCTTCTTCATGATTTCTACTCATTAGGGCTACATTAGGGACTAGAATTACAAACTGACAGTTGAAATATGTAATGAATAGTTCAATAGTCAAACACAAGAAGTTTTGAAAATATGTAAAAAAAATGCAAGTGTAACTTAATATTTCAGAACAACATAGGAATTAAGTTAGCTAGAAACTCTTACCCTAAAAAATTCTTTTGTTGAGCCAGAATCTAAGGTCCCATAAGCGATTTCTGTTTGTTTAGACAAATCCTCAGCGCTCTCAATGGGAGACACCATTCTCTCCACCGTCAGGAAGGCAGCTAAGTTAGCCGTGTAGGATGATATTATGATCAGGGTAAAGAACCACCACACACCTCCAACAATGCGCCCAGACAGGGATCTAATAACAAGTATGAAATGGATTTGTAAAATGAAATGAATGTCCTGAAAGGAATACAAGTTATCAGATTTATGTATATGCTGCACTGGGTAACTTGGAGAATATTTTATTCATGCTATTCAGGAAAGGAGAGGTATATGTTGCTATGCATGCTAATGACATAGGAAAGTAATAATATTTTACTTAGATAAGGTGTGTCACTAAATTCAGGACTTCTGTATTGAATTTATGTACTATTGGATCTTCATAGGTCCCAAAATCCTGAAAAAGAAAGCTGCTTAGATCATGTTATTGCCATATTTTTCTTAAAAATATTTTCATAACATAAGTGAACATTGATACAATAAAATCAGACAAAACTGATGAAATACACATTGAAATCAAAACAGAATAACTCAATAGGTTATAATTACTATGCACAAAGCATGAATTCCTCTTGCAATGGATTCAATGAACGTTGGTTGATTACATATCAGACTCTAATGGCATCTGCAGTTGCCATATGGTTTCCGTTAAGCTTCTTTAAAAACCTCAGCATTTAACATAGTGGAGGTCATATGTTATACAATAATATGTATCATTATAAAGATTTTTTTTCTGGATTCAGAAGTTTAATTGTCATTACATTTGACTTTAGCGTTTGCCCAATAACTGCATGCTATGATTTCATATTTGTATGAAAAAACCCCAATCAGAATCTGACAATAATATTTTAAAAACATAAAAATGTAATAGCAGCTGCCTATTATGGATCTTTATTTTTGATGTATTCTATGTAAGGAGACAACTAAAAAAATAAGAAACAAAACTGAGAGCAATAGCTTATCTAATATCGTTATGGACTATGCCAATTTCAGTTTCAACATTTGCCAAATTTTCCTATGGGAAAGGGCAAAGAGTAAACCTTTGTAGAAGGAAATTTACCATGATTTGCCAGAAACCTACATTCTGGTTCACTTTTAAATGGTGTAATTAATAGAATCTCTTCCTTATAAGTGATGGTCCCTGAAGATTCCCTTTGTTTCTGCCTTAAAGTTTGCAGGGTTCTTAAATCAGTATCAGTTGCCCCTAGAAAAGCTGGTACTTACATATGAATTAACTTTGCCAGTAAATGTATATTTTATATACAGCATGAACTGATCTAGAGTTGAACTGAACTATTCTCTTATTGCGTTTCTTCTCATTTTTACCGTCTCTTTTTAAATAGCTTAAAATCTGATGGCTCCATCAGTGGCTTCAATAGCAGTGGAAGTGTTACAGCATTTCCACTGTGTTTCCTTCCTGGGAATGAAGCATGAACACTCTAGGGAGAAACCACAGCAGTAGCATACTGCTGTCAGAGCCAGTAGTTTATAAACTATTCAAAAAATGATAAATAAATGAATAAATATTTATGAGAACAATACAAACTTGCTGCCTTGAGAAGAAACTTCTAACCAGTGATTAACTGCAGCCTCTACCTCCCCTTAATATCACCCATTCTGGAAATCCAAAAGCACCTACTGAATATGAAGTGAATCCGCACTTTAAGTAGAATTCATCACAGTCTTTGATATGTAAAAAAATCCAAAAATTCAGCAATAGTAACAGTTGCAGAAGCATGTTCTCATCGCAAAGTGAATTATCTAGCTCATATGCATATACATACTATGTTATACATAGTATTTCTAGAATTATTTACTCTGATCCAATGCAGGACTCCCCAATAATTTTCCCATACCTTGTGGGAGAAAACAGCATTGTACATGGCAAAAGAAGCTTTAGAGGATACAGAAATAGCTGAAGAGAAGTATATCGACTAGAGCAAATCAAATTGCTAGATTCTGGTCATGACTGAAATAAAAATATTCATTCATTCATTCAGATTGCTAGAGTTCCCTCTCATGGATTATGAAAGAGCTCTAATTCATTTCACATTACTGTAGTCTTGTGCTGGCATAAAGCTTCATAAAAATATATAGAAGTAGTCATGTGCTACAATAATAATAATAGTAACAACAACAACACATTTCTATAAAAGGGGTCAAAGGAAGCTGAAGATTTGCAAATAACAAATAAGGTCACTCACCTAAGACCTATAGAACTTTTTCTGCAGAATGCAGCTACACTTGCATTTTTACAAATTTTCATTCCGACATGTATTTTATCAATCTTCCATTTTTCTTAATATCAGATCATAAAATCTAAACTGAATACACAATATTCAACCAAGCTAGGTATGACCTAAAGCTTCTAGTATCATCTAATTTTATTTCATTTACTTAGCTTAACAGGAAAAAATAGTTCCACAGTAGAAAAAAATCCACAGAACTTCGGAAAGCCCCTTCATGGATTGATCTTATAGTTGTAAAGGGGCTTATGCATTCCAATGATGCGACCAGATATACTGTTGGGAGTATATATTCCCAGAAATATATACTCCCAACTAACCCATGATGGACAGGCATAGGTAAGGAATTAGACTAAATACAATCTACTGGAGAAGGAAACCACTCAAACCATTTCAGAATTCTGCCAAGAAAATGAAATGGACATATATAACCAAGACAGTGTTAACATGATCTTGAAGAAAGAGCTCTCCAAGCCAAATATCTAATGATCTACCGGGTAAGCATAGGATACATATGAGTAGCCTTAGTGTTTATGATGTGTCTGGATTAAAGTCAAAAAGACATCTAACTGTGATGAGCCCAGAGGCAAAAGGAAAGATTTATGCTGCATAAATATGGAATGTCAAAACCATATTTTGAGCAGCATACAAGTGTAAAAACAAATATATTTATAAAATGAAATGAAGCAAAATTGATGTTGTTAGATCAGGTATTCAAGACTGAACATTAATATCCTCAGAATTATCTAAGTGAAATAGATCTGCCTGGCTCATTTTACATCAGAAGAACAACATATTTTCCACTGCAAACAGTAAACCCAAGAAATGGACTAGTTGCTATTATGAAAAAAAGGATATCAAAGTCAGTGCTGAGGTATAATTCTAAAAAATGAAACAATTGTCTCAATCAGTGTCTAAGTCAAGCCACTGTATTACAGAATTCCAGGCCTATACTCCAAGCACAGATGCAAAAGATATGGATACCAGTTCTATGACAACTTACAAGCACATTGTTGACAAAACACGTATATACCCCCACACACATAAAAACCCCTTTATACTAATTATAGGAGACTGGAATGCATCTGGAATAATGGGAATATTTTGCTTCAGTGTATTAAATGAAACAAGAGATAGACAACCAGAATTCTGCCAACTTCTGCCAAGAAAATACATCCTTCTAAAATACAATCCTCTACATGGATATCATTGGGATGTACTGTATAACACCAAAATCCAAGTATCTGTATACAAAGATAAAGAAGTTCTATTCAGTCAGCAAAAACAACACCAGGTGCTCTTTGCTGCTAGATTATGAATTCCTTGCAAAATTACAGTTTAAACTAAAGAAAATAAGCAAAATAAAAAGACTCAAAAGATATGAACAGTGTAATACTCCATATTATTAAGTGGTAGAGGTTTAGATTTAATGGATTATATTTGATAAACACAGTAGCTGAAGAACTCTGGACTGAAATTTGTGACATAATTAAAGGTGAAGCCAACAAAAATATCCTAAAATGCAGAAAGCAAAAGAAGGCAAAATGACTGTCTGCTGATAATATTGAAAAATAGCTGAAGAATGGCAGAAAGCAAAGGGTAACAGAAAATTTGCCCAGCTAAGCACTAAACATTAGCACAGAAGGATTGAAGAGTGCCAATAATGAAACATGTTTTGAGATATCACAATGCAACATTATGTTGTTCAACACACAACATTGAACCTAAGCACATAAGGGGCAGAGCTTGCATTGTGACATCACAATGCACGTTGCATCTTTTTGATGAAATCTTGCTTGTTACATATTCCTCTGATGCTCCTTTCCAGAGCAGAGCAGAGTTACATCTAAATAAGCAATGCAAAGAAACTGAAGATAATCTTTGAATGGGAAGGCCAAGAGACTTAGTTAATGCAAAAATGGGCATGATAAGAGACAAAGGCAAAGATCTGTTGGAAAAAGAAGATATAAATAAGATGTGATTATAAGGAAGAACTGTACAAAATAGATCCATAAATGATACATATGAAAATTTGATCAGTGGACTAGAGCCAGAGATTCTGAAAATTGAAGTTAAATGGGGTCTAGAAAATATTGCTAGCAGCTGCAGGAATTGATTAAATATCAGCATAACTGCTTAAAATTTTACAAGATGATGCAGTTAAAGTACTACTTCCAGTTTTTAGCTAGTTATGGGAAACACAGCAGTGGCCAAGGGATTGAAAAAGATACAGTAAATTTATATTCCAGTCCACTCACACGCTGGTCAAGATTCTCCAATTCAGACTTCAACAATGCATGGAAAGAGAAGTGCCAGATATACAGACTGCATTCATAGGAGGCAAGGGTACCCTGGATCATGTTGCTTAACATCTGATGGTTGATGGAATAGGAGTTACAAAAATACATCTACTTTTGCTTTATTGATTATACAAAGGCTTTTAATTGTGTAACACCATGAGTATACTGGGTATCTTATCTGCCTATTGAACAATTGGTTACGAAGACTTGGAATGGAATATGGAGCAACTAGATGGTTTCACACTGGAAAGAAGTATGCCAAGGTTGTATACAGTCACTTTCTTATTTAACATCAGCAGAATATATCATGCAAAAGGCTGGACTAGAACAGATGGAAATTGGAATTAAAACTGCTGGAAAAAACATCAGCAACCTCTTTGATGCCTGGAAGTGAGGAAGACTTAAGAAATATCTTGGTAAAGATGAAAGAAGGCAGTGAAAAAGCTGCTCTGATCCTTAATGTATATATGGTATATATATTCTGTATTAGATACTCCCATAGTATCTGCCCGGCTGATCTGATATGACAGGTTTGGCATGCTCCAGCTTCCTTCAATTAAACAAGCCATTTATTGGGACCCCAGAGGTGTACCTTCTCTGCAGCAGCACCTCCACTCTGGAATAAGGTTTCCCCTGAGATTTGAACAGCTCCCTTCCTACTTGTGTTCCAAAGGGCCCTGAAGACCTGGCTCTTTGCTCAGACCTTTGGCAACTGAAGTCCCCTTTTCTTCTTCTTCTTCTTTGTTCCCACCTGGTTTAATAATATTTGCCATCTTTGCTCTTCTTTGCTATAAGTTGTTTTCTTGTTTTAAATGTTTTCTTTTAATCATTTTGCAACCACCCAGTGTCACTGGGAGTTAGGCAGCATATTATATATGAATAAACACACACACACACACAGACTGAGAGAGAGAGAGAGAGAGAGAGAGAGAGATTATGTCAACAGAAAATGGTTTGTGGTGAGTCTGGTGAGTGTCAAAGCCACTGTCCTGGACAAAACCCAGAACATCCAGGAGTATATCAGTAAGATGGCACCCAAAGATGAACTGCTGAGAGAATGCTTGAAGCAGCAGACATGAGAAGAAGTTTAAGCAGAGAAAGATGCAAGACAAGACCCTGCATCGGAAGATAGCTGAGGTGGCTGTCATTGGGAAATCCTACCAGTGGCTAGAAAAGGCTAGACTAAAAGACAGCACTGAGGCATTGATTATAGCAGCACAAGAACAGGCACTAAGCACCAGATCCATAGAAGCAGGAGTCTATCACACTTAGACAGGACCCAAGGTGCAGACAGGCCTCAGAGACAGTCCAACATATAGTGTCAGAGTGTAAGATGCAGGCAGGAGCAGTAATACACTGAAAGGTACAACCAAGTATCTGGCATTGTGTACAGGAACATCTGCACAGTATATGGGCTAGACCTTCCCAAGTCCAGATGGGAGATTCCATAGAAGGTTGTGGAGAATAACAGGGCTAAGATACTGTGGGGCTTCCAGATCCAGATGGACAGGCGGGTACTGGCCAGTCAACCAGGCTTTGTGGTTATAGACAAGGAGCAGAAGACAGAGGTGGTGATAGATGTGGCAGTGCCAAGTGAAAGCAACATCAGGAAGAAGGGGTATGAGAAGCGGAGAAGTACCAGGGCCTGAAGTAGGAACTAGGGAGGATGTGGAAAGTAAAGGCCAAAGTGGTCCAAGTGGTGGTAACAGCACTTGAGGCTGTGACCCCTAAGCTGGTAGAGTGACTCCAACAGATCCCAGGAACAACATCATAGTTCTCTGTCCAGAAGAGCGCAGTGCTAGGAACAGCTAATATACTCGCAGAACCCTCAAACTCCCAGGCCCCTGGCAGAAGACCCAAGATTGAGGAAGACACATACCACCCACAGGGGTGAGAGGGGATTTTTTAATATATTCACATGCATACACACACACACACACACACACACACACACACACTTTTCCTAAGGTTATGTCAATAGTAAATACCAACCAAGTGTAAGTGAGCAAAGGGGAAGTTAAATCAGTTGTAACATATGGCTATGAAACCTGGATCATCAGAAAGGCTGAACGATGAAAAAAGGATGACTTTGAACTGTGGTTCTGAAGATAATTGTTGAGAAAAGTTTGGATATTTTGCACAGGCAACAGGCAGTGGAGAAGATCCTAATGCTTGGAAAAATTGAAAGCAATCGGTTAAGAAGCCAGTAGAAGAGAAGGTGGCTAGATACTATCTTTGATAACACAAATATAATCTTAAAAGAACTCAAAGAAGCAGATACTGACAATCCCAATGAAGTGATGTCCAGCAGATAACAAAGTATAGGAAGCAATTGAATAACTAAACACTTCAGAAAAATGTTCCAGTTAGTAATATTGTTCCACATTATTTTCCCCAAATTTATTCAGATAATTTCCTTCCTGTTTTATGTTCCTTGGTAGATCTCAGTGCTAAGCTAGCAGGCTCCTATAACCTGAAAGAACCAGAATATGCAAAAAAGAAATTCTCTTCATTGCATCTGATCTTTTTCTGAAAGGTGAAAATAATAGTACAGTTATGATAGTGAAACCCTGACAAACTCCAACCTAGCAACCTTTTGAAACAGATTAATTTCAGTTTGGAAATAATGTCCGCATTCAATACGATGCAGCAATGTGTGCCCCATCAGAATTGTTGCGTTTCGGCCAAAGCATGAAGGAAATGGAAAAGTTGGTAATACTGTGAAAAGAAATAAAACAAACATGAGCATAGTATGCTTAATAAAATAAACATCAAGATCAGAGTTTATGTTTGGAAATCAACAGGAAACTTCCTGCAAACCACTATTCTTGTCATGTGTGTTCCAACTGGTCCCAGTGATTATTAAGTGATACAAAGACCTTTCTTATTTAAAGTTCAATGATTTTGCTGAATAGAGGAAGGGAATTTTCCAACTGGTCCCAGTGATTATTAAGTGATACAAAGACCTTTCTTATTTAAAGTTCAATGATTTTGCTGAATAGAGGAAGGGAATTTTCCAACTGGTCCCAGTGATTATTAAGTGATACAAAGACCTTTCTTATTTAAAGTTCAATGATTTTGCTGAATAGAGGAAGGGAATTCGTGGGCTGGATGGCACAGGAAGTATTTTTGTGGTGGGGACTGTTTTCCCTTATCATTAACAACATGCTACCCTTTTTCCCATTACAGCATCTGTGAAATCAGGGCACGTTTGACTGTAAATGGGAATATGCAGCAAAAACACGGTACCCCTCCAAGAAGGCAGGAAATGAGAGAAACCTTATGCATTTTACAGCCTCTGCATGGTGCATATAAGTCCACCAGGTAAAGAACAATGGATGCTAGGAACAAATCAATTGAATTATCTTCTGTCTGCACCATGAGCAAATTGTCTTGGAAAGAGAGCTGCAGATGATTTTGGAAAATTTGTCAGCAGCCAACATTTACTTAGTGTGAATCTATAGGCACCATCATCGTCCTCAGGGAGACCAAAATGCACAAAGCTGAGACAGGCATGTAACCAACCTTGGCGAAATATCGCATCCTTGCTGCATAAAGGCACCCAAGGAAAACCAGAGACTATTAAATATCCCAAATTCATTAGTTGATTCGTTACTCTGCGTTTCTCTTCCATCTTCAAACTCCTCAGTGTGCCACTCGTAAGGGCTAAATCTGCTGACCAGGAATAAAACAACACTGACCCCAATGTAGGCAAAAACAATGCACATCCAGATCTCATATGCTAAGGGATCAAGAAAGGAAAACACTCCTGGTTTGGACTTCTGTGGCTTCTTGATCATTATAGATATCCCGAGGCTCATAAAAGGCTTTGAGAAGTCAATCACTTCTTCTCTCACCAGTGTTATAGTTAATGGAGCAATTGCAATATCAGCTTTCTGTAATGGAAGCAAAACAGATAATAACTTATTTAACAAGGGAATGGCTTCATTGCTTTTGTGCATTGCAAATGAATAATACAACGACAGGGGAAAAGACAATAATTATTTCACTGCTAGCATCCCACTAAGCCAATCTGCCTCAGTATTCTTCTTACTGACACATAATCAACTTCTATCACATAAGAGGATATTTTCTACAATCGTACTCTGAATATTGCTGGAACACAACTATTATCCCCTATATTTGTATAAAACCTGAAAGGACAGAACTTTTGTAGAAAAAAGTGGTGAGATACATTTGTAATTACCTGTTTTCTAAAATAAGGGAGCTTGCTTTAATCCAAGTGAACTGCAGTTGTCATACCAACATGTATTGAGCTTATCTCCATTAATCAAAGATACTTGCAATGGTTAAAATTGGCTCTTACCCCATAAACAAGTTCTCCAACCATTCCATTCCAGATTTTTGTTTCTGCATCCCTGGCCCCATACTTGCCATCCCCAACAATTGTGAGTTTGTACTTGAACCCACAGTGTTTGGCAATTTCTGCAGCTAAGTCCACACAGTAGCCCTCATAGCGCTCATTTCCTTCAAGCAATTCAAAATTTTTCTTCATCATGACATATGGGGATTCCTGTACAGAGAAACTTGGCTTTAGCTGGCTAATAAAGACATCAAGTTAGCTGCCTATTTGTTATATACCTTTTGAAGCACAATGAGTAAATAAGAAAAAAAAAACATTTTTTTCCATAAATGTTCAGGATTATTTATTTATCAATTACCACAATAACATTTCTTCACAGTTGTATAAAGCCTTACAGGTAGAGGCATTTATTTTTAAAAAACAAATTCATAATTTTATTAGCACTAATGGAATCTCTATGATAACAAGAAAGTTTTAAAAACATTTTATTTTGTAAACTTTTAAAATAATATATCAGAATATTCATGTATATTTCATAGCGTTTTATATTTTTCAATTCCCACCAAACCAAAACTGATTATATAGATTTACAATAAACATAGAACTGTTAAAAAAAAATCTTACCACCACCAAAACAGTTGATAAAATGTTGGTGCCTTTAGTATATAATCCAGAACAGTTATGCCTTGAATGAACAACTTCAGACAATTGTTAGCTTACTAGGAAAACAATATGACATTCCTAAATTTCTATAATATTGCAATTGTATATTGATAAAGTCTCAATCTTCTATTTAGTGGAAAATTTTAAATTTCTGTGGTTAAAAAATAAAAAGAGCCCTTCTCTGAAACTGGTTCCATTCCCATTTTCTCTCTTTGTTTTAAACATTTAAAACGTATATATACCACAATAATTGCCATTTGTGGAAAATAAAAATAATGATACATTTCAAAATTCTCATAACTCTGAAACAACATGCAAAGAGAAACACAGATTTTGTAATTATGCCATAAACAGTATTTCTTAATTTTTCACATATTCATAGTAAAAAAAAAAAAAAATCAGACAATGGTTAACTATACCAACATAGATTGAGAATGAATAATAAGATTACAACTTAGAGTATCCATGTCACAAAAAATATGCTTAATTACCAAAATAGTGGTGACAATAATAGTCTTATTCTCTAATCCTGAGGTATCGTTGCCAGAGAGACCATCCATAGGATTCACAACCATTCTGTCCACCTCACTCCAGTATCCAATCTGAAAAATGTTGTAAATTGTATTGAAATGAATTAATAGTTTTGTGCATTTTTTTTTGACAAATTACATTCCCACATCATATTCCAGCCTATTGGATATATTCAAGAAATGGTACTTTCTGTATATTTGCTGCAAAAAACATGTTATTTGATATCTGAAACAGCAATATGGAGAGATGTATAAGAATTATCAGAACAATGACAATTTTTGAAGGGGTTCAACCCATGTTTATAGTTGAATGAAAAAAGTGGGCTCTATTATATATCCCAGATTAAAATTTCCATGACTTCTGAATTTCAACCAAAGTGTTTAATTTACACACAAAATTCATGGGTCTTTCATCATTCATTGTTCTCATTGTAAATATAATTATGCAAGACAATGAATTAAAGTTAGAGAATTCTGTAGTGAAATACCTTACTTTCAAAGTAAAATAAGCATAATGATAGATCATACTACCTCTAGTACGATCTATATTTTTGTCTGAAATATGCAGCATTTTTAAAAAATCCCAAGGAATTTATAAACATGCAGTTAATTATTTTTCTTATATCTTACATTGCATTTTAAGATGCAATGTACCTGTACCATTTAGAAGGAATATAGAAGTAATTTTCTATTTATAATGAAATTTACCTTCCGAGGACCAGTACTTTTCAGCTCCATGACATTTATGGTATAGTTAATTCTCTTTCCATTCTGATCAAACTTTATGTTCCCTGTTAACCCTTCCACCTGAACCTATATGAGGTAAAAAATGGAAAGCACAGTAAAGTTGAACAAATGAATATATTACATTTATATATTTACTTACTGTGCTCATATACAAAGAATAGCCACTTTATGTATTGCTAAGAAGTCCTCCCAGAAATAATACATATAATAATCCAAGGTTTTAATATGTAAAATGAGGTGCAGTTGATGACTTTCCTGGGTAATTAAATAAATAAAACATTAGTTCTAGAAAGGCTACCTGTTTCAACGCCCTTTCTATTTCTACCCCATGAGACCAAGGCACGGCTGGGTTTGCAAGACAGTCTCCAGCATTCCCTCTTCTCGAGATCTCAATCCGTTGTTTGCGCAAGTTACGGAATGCTTCAGTCATCACTTTAACAGCATCATAAGTAAGAGCTGATGTGTACTGAAAAGAAGCCAATATATTTCAAATGTATTTTATGAAACAGAATGAATGGTATGCGTTTCTTAGGTAAATAAAGCAAAAAACATCTAAACATAGGTTAAGAAATGCTGATTTGTAATGCTGATTTGTAATGACTATTTTAAGTAAAAAATAGTTGAAAATTAATTAAAATAGTATCCATGTCCCTTGGTTGAATTTTTCCACAATACAGTCTAATTTATTTGCCTGTAAGAATAAGTTGCACTAAAGTATCTTCATGGAACATTCCAGCTTTCAGTCAAAATACACCTCTCACTGCACAGAATATTAATATATTCTGACATATTTTAATATAGTCCATATGACAGAAATTAAAAAGAAAATTTTCTTTTGAAAAAGCAGTTCTCTATACAGCAAAACTTTGAACTCCACTTTAAACAAAGTTATCTTTATAATAAATAAGATTAAAATAGACTTTCTACAGCTGCTTTATACTGTACATCAGAGATCTAGTTTAATTCATTCTTTAACACCTTTTTCATAAAAATAGTACATTTATTGAATAAACACAATCCATTAAACTAAAGCTTAACAGAATTATTCCCTTGAACTTTAATCATGTTTTAGTCAAAGAATGCAGGATCTGCATATATAACACCACATGAAAAAGTCTGATATTATTTTTTATTTTTGGGGAATATATTAAATGTCTAAAATATTATGAGATTCCTTGTACAATCAAAGCCAAGGATATATGAAACTGTGTCTACTTAACATCGCAAAGGTAGTCGCAATTTCTCTGAAAACAATAGCAGTGAGTGAACTGTCAAAATAAATTGCTCCTTAGGGTGAACCTTTAAACAGATGAATCACCAGATAATAAAACTGTCAAAAATAAGCAATTCAAAGCAGTCTCCATCTAGCAGTTATCACATCAATCTTATTTGTTTTATTATGAAGTAAGGCTATAGAAAAATAGGGCTCATATTGTTTTTATCAAAAGAAAAAAAATGTTGGTTCTTGTGTTCATTTAAGCTTTCTTGCATCATCATCATCATCATCATCATCATCATCATTTGAAACCTTTTATTTACTAGCACAGTTCAATGTGTCATAATCCACACTCTTCATATACGGAGAAATCTAAAGAAAATGTTCTTATCTTAGTCCATTTCAAGCCCTCCTTTTCCCAATCCTGAGCACCTCCATGTAGGGCTGGGGAAAAGTTTCTATCTGAAATCTTGGAGAGCTGCTGCCAGCCAAGGGGATCAGTCTAAGGGTTTCAGTTTTCTGTATTATTAACAATGATCTGACTTCTAAATTTCTGTTTAGAACTATCTGCAAAAATCTAGCTTCACCAAAGAACCAGCAGTATATACAGCTAGGAATCTATGTACAGCTTCTAGTTTATAGAAACCTAAAAGCTAATGGCAGGATTGTATTAATGCTGTAGAGCTAAACCTCAAATGTGGATGTAATGATTTCTTATGAAATATGAGGTAATGGCAAACCGCATGAAGAATTGTCTTACATAATACATTTCATCCTACTATGAAGACCCAGCATAAAATGGTCATAGCATCTAGGAGAAACAAGTATAAATTCAGTCTGGCATTTTACTGGAAAAGAAACTTTCAGGTTCAGTGCAGGCTTTCATGAGTTTCTGGGCTAATAGGCCGTGGTCTAAGTATCTGGTATCCTGACGGTTCAGCAGCAACTGTGGCTGGCATCTTCAGAGGTGAAAGGGGTCTGCTCTGTAGAGCACTTTTTGGCAATTGTGACTGGCATTTTCAGAGCTGAAAGCATCTGTGAGCTGCCAAAAAGTGCTCTACCGTTCATTACTTAAAAATTTAGGATATGATTTATAAGCAGAAAGTTCTGGATTCTATTAAGTAGAAGATACAAAAAGTTCTATCTAAAAAGGTGAAGAATTGTTGCCATGCTATGCAATTAGGCCTATGAAGATTTGTACTGGCAACTATACTACCTACAATATTGGCTAATTGGTAGTTTGTGTACAAATTCTGTGAAATATACACTAATTTTCTATAGCATGAGCTGAGTGATTTTCAATTCTTGTTTACTGTTATTATGAAGTTTTGCGTATTTTATGAACATTGTTGTTAGCCTGGAAGCTCATCACCACTAAATCTTCAGTTTTCCCCCTAAAATAAAGTGGCCATTATCATTCCCAGACTCAAAAAATTCCATTATATAAATCTTGGAGGAGTGGGGCATATGTACTTCAGTCAGAAACATCCTGGAAAGGCTGGTGTCCAAATGACCTTCCCAATGAATCAAATACCCAAGCGATCCCTCCTGATGCCAAGAATGCAGAATACACTCTGCCTTAAACTACTCTTCTCTATACAATAAGATAGGAAGGGGTAGTAGAGTGTAATGGTATATGGGAATGACCTTGGGAGATAGGGGAAAAGCCGCAGCCAAAGGAATGGTTAGATAAAAGGCAATGTAGTCCACAGCAGGAATGTGGGAGGGACAAGAGGCTCAGAAGAGACTCTCCCTGGTTTCTTGGGCTATAAAACAGATAGGGGGAGAAATATTCTTTCAGACTTGCACGATAACTTTACCATACAGTAGAATTAGCTCATATGGCTGTGTTTCTTGGTCTACCTCGCGAGGATGACAGAGAACCAATGTGTGTAAGGAGCAGGGAAAGCAGTTTCAAAACAACTGGGAAAGTATAAAACTGGGTCAATCTTTGATGTAAAGCTGCAAATTAAACACTACTACACTGACATGCTCCTGCTGTTATGGAATGAGAAGAAAATCAGCTGTCAAACTCTCTGGCTGAAAATTGGCAGAAGCTCTCCAGGCACTCAACCCAGCAACACTAGATAAGAATATTTATTACATACTACAGTGAAGTCACTTAAAGCAGTTGAGTGCCTTCTGTCAACCTGAGGGAGGATACATAATAAGAGGACAAAAAGTTCCTTTTTTCTTCCACTGAAGATTAAATATGGCATTCCCTAACCCTTAAAATTTTCAGGTATGATAGCAATTAGTTGTTGAATAATTGGCCTTTCTGCCTTGAGAAATTCTAGCTCCTGATATAACTGCTCTCATGTGCAATATATTACATTACTCAAACCTGAAACATACATCACAGCTTTAAGGTCATTTTCTTCCAAGAAGGGATGTACTTATCATCTGAAGTGAATAAAGGAAATCTTGGCCACTAGCTTAATCTGGAAAATGAGGGAGAGATTTGGATTCAGAAGTACCTTCAAATTATAGATCTGTTCTTCCTGGAGAATATGATCCATTCAGAATAAGGGATTTACCATATCTCTGGAATTATGATCATTCACAGTAAGCATCTCTAACCCTCACTCTCCCCCTCCTCCTCCTCCTCACCATCTTGCCTGGATTCATTTTCAATATATTATGCTTTATCCAACCCTTTCAGAGAGCCACACCATAGATTTGCATGTCATCAGAATACTGAAATGTAAATTTGGGAATACTTCTGCATGCAGATGATTCTGTATTGCTGGATAAGAATACAAACAATTTGCAGTGAATGTTAGCTAGATTACATGATGCAATGAGAGGTATGGATCTGAAGATTAACGTTTTTAAGGCAAAAGTGATGATGTCTGACAGGAAAATGAAGTGAATGATTGCAAGTTATATATAAATGTGGAAACTAAAGCAAGAAGATTTGTATACTTTGGAAGAATACTTAATAAAGATCAGAAAATGGATGGATAAATTTTAAGACATGCAAATTCTGGTAGAAATATAATGTATAGTATGTTATCTGTTGTGAGGAATAAATATTTGTCAAAAGAAGCAAGAAGGTTGTGTGTAAGATTTTCTGCCTACTTTTCAGTATGGAAGTGAGAATTGGATACATTAGGAGAAACATAAAAATAAATTGAATGCAATGGGAATGGGTTGCTTAAGAAACATGTTAAAACCAAGATTTAAGATAACAAAATAAATGAGCACTGGATGAACATGGATTCAATATAAAAGTGAGCAAACAGTGGAAAAATATTTTGAGGTGGTTTGGTCTTAGAATGAATCAGGACTGAATCACAGAACAAATATATAAAAGAAGAGTATAAACCACTCAGAGTCACATACAATTGGAGCAGCATCTAAGCCTCAGTAAGTAAGTAAATAAATAAAGACTGAGAAAGTTGTAGTTATATGGAGTTGAAGAGATCCTCATAAAGAGAAAGATGAAGTTCAAAGAACAAAAGGCAATCATGGTGAAGCAATTATAAGGATAGTTTGCAAGTACAGAAAAATACAGAGCATGGTGCTATTCGATTTATTTAGATTTCATTTTCTTTTGTCTTATCTCCCTTTTAACTGGTTTCACTTATTATTTATTTTTCATTGCTCTAGATATTTATTAGAACAAATATTGCTATTAATTACTGAACAGCAGTCACAAGCACAGTTGCCTCAAGATGGGTCCTATGATCCCCTGGATTCTACCATATTTATCTTAGGTATTCTCTCATATACATGAACTTGGGTTTAATTTCTTTCCAGAAAAGCAATCAAAACTGGTATTATTATGGAATAGGATAGATATGTTTAGAAGCATTTCTCACCATCTGCTATTTTCTCTTGATCACATATTCATTGATCATATAGGGAATATAAATCAAAATTCTCCAAATTTAATCAGTTGTTCAGATGATTTAGCACTGCCCATTCAGAGCTAGTCAGTAACTAAATTATGTCAGAGCACACCACTGAGAGATGCAATTTCTCCTGCTGCTACTCTGATCATTTATACATGTACTGAATAACGGCAGACTTGAGGCAAATATAAAGTAGTTTATGAGGCACACATCATGTAATACTAATTACAAAGTAGCAGGATTTTTAAAGCCCTACGTCTCTGACCTTTAGACAAAGTTAAGCATTAATATAATATTTTTATCCTGTTATAATGAGGACTAAAAAGAAAGATAGATGGAACCAGAAGCCAGAGTCAAAACTGGGCAGGGCCATACTTCTCTCTCTCTCTCTCTGTCTCTCTGTCTCTCTCTCTCTCTCTCACACACACACACACACATACATACATACATACATAGACACACACAGAGCTTTTGAAATCTGTCCAAGGACCACATAAAATAAGGCTCAATCTTCAAACAGAAATCACTGAAGACCATATAACCATGAGTTTGTTGAGACTTCATCTAAGCCACCTTTATTGCTATTGTGATATAAATTGGTTGGCTTAGTAAAGAAAGGAAAGTTCTCAAGTCCTGACAGAAATGGGAAAATCTAGAGCAGCCTTCCCCAAACTGGAGTCATCAGGATATGTTGGGACTACATGCCCCATTCAACAAGGCCAGTGGTTGAAGAATGCTGATCTTGACTATCTAGAGAAGGGGTTTTCAAACTGGGTTCCATTAGAACTGGAATGGGTTCCATAAGGGTCTAAGCACAAGGAACCTCTTGAATGCACTGGTCTCAAATGCACACTTAGTCATCATATCCACCCCCTGCCTCATAGCTAGGTCTTCCCCTCTCATTGGCTGTATGTCATCTCTAGTGTTTGGAAGTGATCTGTGCAGGAGGCTGCCTTTCTACCATCACCACTCAAATCTTCCATCTTCTTACATGAACACATACAAACACGAAAGCCAACATCCTGCCTATGCCCAAATTCTGACAAACATTTTCCCAGGCAGGAGGAAGAGGAGTGCTTAAATAGTTCCATCCAGGCATTCACAATGGAAAAAAATAAATAAATCCATGGCATCATCATTCCTAAGTAAGTGATTCTTCTAAGTGACATCACAAATGGTGATTTTCCTGCATATTTATCCACTCTCATAATATCAAATTGTCATAACCATATATGTATATATATATATACACACATACACACACACACACACACACACACACACATACATATTATTTTACACTTTAATTTTTGTTTTTATGCTAGCTTTTTATCACTGGTACTTTGCCTCTTGATCAAGGGTTCTGGGATTATTAATTTTTCTTAACTAACAGATTCCATGGCTTGAAAAAGTTTCAAAACCCCTAATCTAATGGATTGAAAACAGCTTATTCATATTCTCATCACTCAGCCAGTACTCACCAATATGGGGAGGCTTCTGATATTTCATGACTTACATATTTCAGATAAACTTAGCAAGAAATTCAGAAACATGGTTTGGATAGATTATAATCTTTATTGGAGACTGGAATGAAGCCATGCATAGTGGTTGATTTTCCTCAGTCACTGAGAAGTTATACATTACTTTTATAACCTTGCAGTTTAAACTCATGGTTTCCTTTTCCTTCCTTTAAGAATTAACAGATACGTGGCAGAGCACTTGGTAGTCTTCAAGTCAAGTATAAGTAAGTGAGTGAGTGAGTAAGTGAGTAAGTTTATCGTTGTAAGCACAGGTCATAACATATAGCATACCATAAATAAAATAACAACAGAATAGTAAAATTACAAAATGAAGTAAAAAAAAAAAGAGTATTAGATGTAAGAAAGTTAAAACAAGATAAAACCAGATCTTGTCCGGCCTAGCCCAAGGAACTCCAGAAGACCATGCAGATTCAGTTCAGCAATGTTTATTAGCTACGACCTCTAGC